TTAAGAATATCTAATAGCCCAACAGTCTGCATTCTAACATTCTTTGTGTCAAGAATCTACTCAGACGTAACAGTCTGTGTTCTGTGTTCTAGCATTCTAAATCCTGAAGACCTTTCTAGCCACAGCACTGAATGTTCTATGTTCTGAGTTCCTTTATAAGTCATGCGTTCTATGTTCTATGTTCAAACATTGCATATTCCAAAGCCCTTCCAAGTTCTCCTATTGTATGTTCTGTGTTCCAACATTCTAAAGACCTTTCCAACATTTCACATCCTATCCTCTAAGTTATAAAATTCTATATTCTAAGATCCCTCCTAGTTTTCACAGAATATATTCTATATTGTAACATCTTACATTCTTAAGTCCTTTCCAAGCCTAACAGTCTATGTTCTATGTTCTAACACTGAATGTTCCAAGACAGAGATGGGGAACCTGTGGTCTTGAGGTCACATATGGCCCTCTAGGTCCTCAAGTGTGGCCCTTTGACTGAGTCCAAGTTTTGCAGAACAAATCCTTTTATTAAGGAGATTTGTTCCGTGAAGTTTGGATTCAGTCAAAGGGCCACACTTCAGGACCTAGGTGGCCATATGTAGCCTCAAGGCCATAGGTTCCCCACCCCTGTTCCAAGGTCTCTCCCAGATCTGACATTGTATGTTCTGTGTTCTAACATTCTGCACTCTTATGTCCTTTCTCTTGCCAACATTCTATGCTTTTTGAAACCAAATGGCCTTTTTGTTTGCCAACGTAAGTAGCTAGTAACTGGTTTTCCTTCCCACTGTCCCCCCCCCGACCCCACCTGCCCCTGGCAGGCATTTATCAGTAAACATTTAACCCTAAAAATAAATGTTACCATTGTAACGGGCTGTTGAATTTCTTGCAGACGCTTAGTAATGGTGTTTCAAACCTGCAGCAATTCATATCAGGAGGCGAGCTCTCCTGCGGAGGAGGCTTTGGGAGCCATCGAGCACTGCCAGGGCTATTACAAGTCTGAAAGAAATTTGAATGATAATTCCAAAAGGCTTTCTTATCTCATAATCCAGTGGAAACTCTCCACAATTTGAATTCAGCAACTGCCAGGCATGGCCAGCCATTCATCCCGCTAGTACCACAGGAGCTCAGAAAGTAGGCAGCACCATTATACACCCGAGCTTTTTATTTAGAGCAATTATCATTTTCAATTCAGGTGCAGCCTCGATGTCTTAGGCTTACCAGGTCTTCACTGGGACTTAGGAACCTTGCAGTTAATTGAGTCCATTAGTTGTATTATGACTAGGGCTGATACATTTTTCCCCCCATCTTGAATATGAATGAGCAGCTCCGTTGGTGAAATGGGAGAGGAGAAAGCAGATACAGCCTGAGGTCTTGTCAGCATCCTCCCTAGGATGGAAGAAAGTGAAGAGCTATTAACTGATCTTTGAGAAAGCAATTGGACAGCATGTAGTAAACACAGTGCTGGGATTTCCAGTCTTGGCCCTGCTTCTGTTTGTTGTGTGAACTTGGCCAAGGCAGCTAATGTCCTTGTGTCTTCATTTCTTGGGAGAAGGGGAGAGAGAGAGAGAGAGAGAGAGAGAGAGAGAGAGAGAGAGAGAGAGAGAGAGAGAGAGAGAGAGAGAGAGAGAGAGAGAGAATGAATCAAAGAAACAGCAAATGTTAGAGTTGGAATGGACCTTAGAACATAGAATATTAGTGCTGGGAGGTCACTAAATCAGTATATATTAGGTAGTAAATGTGTGTGGGGGGTGGAGGAGGTATAAGAAAGGAAAACTGTAAGAAAATTGGAGAGAAGTTGGAGGAAAGGGAGTTAGCATGTCCAACTCCATGTTCCTAGAACACCCAAAGTGCTCTGCATCACTAGCTTTTGTAGAAAGCTTTGTTCTGGCACTAACAGGGAAGAATAACAAAACCAGAAGAGAGAATACATAGAGCTTCCCTTCAGTATGTCAGCACTGTCCCCGGTGCTGCCCCATGCCCCCAGTCTCCCACATTCTGGTCACCAATGTTCTATGTCAGAGCATATCTATATCTACATCACAGCCCTGAATTCAGGGTAGGGGTCTGAAGGCCCAAGATCGCTTTCCTGCCAGATTCTAGACTGGTCAGGTCACTGATAGGATATTTCCATAAAGATGCCTTCCTCCAGGTGCTAATTTCTCTCTATGTGCTCCTTAGCTTTCCCTGGAGTTAGAAGATAAAACAGAATATTCTGTATTGCAGTGCAGAGCCATACTTTGTTTCATTCATTCATTCAACATTAGCCTTTACAGACTTGGGATGCATTTTTATAGATACTACATGTGAGTCAACGAGTTCTTAATAAAATCATAATACATGTAAATAGTCTACTTTTCTCATATTTTTGTTTTTTTCTTTCTTCCTTCCTTCCTTCCTTCCTTCCTTCTTTCCTTCCTTCCTTCCTTTCTTTGGCAAGGCACGGCAAGCAACCAGCATTTTTAAGCACTTTATATATATATGAGGCACCATAATAGGATCTAAATGCCAGCAAAACCAAAGATGGTCTCTGCCCTCAAGGAGCTTATATTTCTAATGGGGGAAGTCAATACAAAAAGGAAGGTGGGAAGTGTGTGTGTGTGTGTGTGTGTGTGTGTGTGTGTGTGTGTGTGTGAAGATATCCAGGATGGGAGCTTGGAGCTGAAGTCAGAAGAAGAACCAAGAGTGAAATGAAGGTTGACTGGCTGAGGTTCCTCTTTAAAATGGAGGCCCCTGGAGGAGCTCACCAATTGGAAAAGGGGGCTGTCATGCAAGGATGCTCCAGGGGAACGAGGCTGCAGGACAGTTTGAATGTTCCAGGTGAAGGAGGTCCTAGGAGTAGAGGAAGGTTCCAGGCAGAGATTGCAGCTGAGGCAAGGTGTTAAAGTCCAGAAAAATAATTAAAGTCTTATTGATAATTTAAAAAAAAATCAGTGTTGTTAAAAAACAAATCAAAATAAAGCAGTCTTATTTCCTGGCAATTCTCATGAACTTTCTTTTCTAACAAAAGAAAAACAAAACTTTAACAGACCCAAAGCATCATGTTATCCCTGGCTGACAGCAAATGTAGCACTTAACATTCCTAGGCCATCTTTCTTTGCCCAGAGAATGAGGCTCCATTGGTAACTCTCAAGAAATCATGATTGATCATTGCATGAGTTTGACTCTTGATGTCTTTTAGCATTTTCTTGCTTCATACTTTAGAGGTTGGCCCTTGTGTTGTTTTTTTTGCTGGCTTCTACTTCTTTGCTCTTTGTCAGTTCATAGAAATCTTCTTAAGTTTCTCTGTATCCCCCGTCTATGCTATTCCTCAATCAGTAGGTGTTTATTAAACATCTACCTTGTACCAGGCACTGTGCCTAGGTCCCGGGCATACAGAGACAAAAATGAAATAGTCTGTGCCCTAGGGTTGATACATGGTGGGGATGTACACATCTAGGATCATTCAAAACATATGCAAAGTAAATTCAATTTGATTTCTTTTGGAGGGGAGGCACTGGGAGCTGCAGAATCACCATGCAGTAAGATTTCATGGCATTCACATTTTGTTCTTCCTTTCTTTAGTCAGTGAGTAGTGAATTTTCAGTATCTAATGAGGTTTTGTTGTTGTTGTTGTTGTTTTAATTTTATTTTTTTTTCTATCACAAAATTTCTCAGCCCTTATTCAAAAAGGCTCATATTCAAATTGGCTCCAGGGTGACACATTTTTTGGCCACAACATTCTCCCAAAACTGAGGTTGTTGGTGGAGGGAATGAGCATACTGATGGAATCACAGATATTTGAAATATGTAACTGACTATTGTCTTAACAGAACCCTGGAGGCCTGTGAGTATGTAGATATAGGGTGGGCAGAGGGGAAAACTCACTACCTGCCTAATGGTATGATTGTGAAGAAGATTCTTCTTAAATACTTAAGAGGTATACGGAAATGGGAGTTCTTTATAGTCTGTGAGCTTCATTTTAGAGAAGACTGAGGTCATAGACTTTCTTTCAGAGTTAGTTGGGTCCCTCATAGCTATCCTACCCAACCCTACATGAAAAACAAGCCCTCTGAAATATACCTGAGAAACGGGTTATCCATTCTCTGCTCTTACATGTTCAAAGAGGAGACCCAAGGCAGCTCCAATTTGTAGGATCTTGATTGTGACATTCAGCAGAAAGCTGCCTCTTTTCAGCTCTCCACCCACACCCCACCTCACCATTGCTCCTAAGTCTGTTGTCTAGGGACAGAGAGACCAAATCTAATTGCTCATTTGCATATCATCTACATACCAGACCTTCAAATACTTGAACATAGCTATCATGTTTCCTCTGCCCCACCCCCAGCCTTCTCTTCCCTAAACACCCCCACCCACTTCAAGAAATCTTTATATGACATAAACTCAAGGCTCTTCACTGTCCTGGGTGCCTTCCTCTGGATCGGCTTCAGTTTATCCATTTCCTTGCTGAAATGTGGGGCCTTAAACAGACTGTTTTGCAGATGTGGGTTGACCAAGACAGAATAGAAAGAATATTGTCTCTGCAGTCAGGGGACCTCTGTTCACATCCCACCTCAAACACTTACTATCTGTGATCAGGGGTGAGTCACATAACATCCCTGGGCCTCAATTTCTTTATTTGGTAAAAGAGGAGCTTAGATGGCCTACTATCCTATGACAATTACCTCGCCATTTTTGAATGTTCTTGGTGCTGCCCAAGATCATACCAGCTTTTCTACTTCAGGTTTCTTTCTGTTCAACTGTGAAGCCCTGGTAAGCTAAAGATACCTACCTCTGTCTCCCCTTTCCTCAATACCCTCTCTCCCTCCCAAAAAATCTTTAAAAATAAAACTACCCCTAAATTACATTGCTTGTCTTCTGTGATCCTTTTGGTAAGTTAGTTATTGGCCCTCATTAGAAAAAGGTTTCCCACCCCTGGCCCTATAGTCTGGGACTTTTGAGAAGAGTCCTTTCAAGCCAAAGAGGGATCTGAAATTGAAAGAAAGAAAGCTGTTTATAAGCAAAAGCCCAGCCAGGAGTCAAGTGCATGGCCCTTGATGTAGGACTTCAAGATCTGCGTGAATGAGGGTCTGACAGCCCCAAAGTCAGTACTCAAAGCAGTGAAAGGCCAGCCCGAAATTGGAACATAATTGGGCACCCTGCAGGGAGCCCAACAAAACCCAGAAAGGATCCCTGGACTTCAATCAGGAAATGGTCACAATTCTGGAACTCAGCCTTGCAAATTTGGTCACTGGCATTCTGAGGAAAGGAGGCAGTGGCTTTGTGTCCGGCTGGGGAAAAAGTAGATTCGACATGAATTCTGAGGTGGTGGAAGAAAGTGGAATGAGGTAAGTCACTGAATGGGGTGAAGCTTGGACAGTGGTGTTTTCATAGAACATAGGATACTAGAAATTGAGAGGGGAGGATATAAAACATTAGAGCTGTAAGAAAACCTTCCTTGAATGGTATAGTGGTCAATACCCTTTAGCAATCTGGGGAAACTAATAGACTTATTCTCAGAATTATGCTTTTAAAGGCAAGAATTTTTAGAAATCATCAACAAAATATTTTAATAAATTAATTAATTTAATTTAATAAATGCAATAAACAAATAAATAATTTCAATAAATAAGATAACAAAGGAAACCAATTACATTGAAATAAAGATGTAACAGTTTTTCTCACTGAGGTTCCCAGACCCCCTAAAGGCTAATGATGGAGATCCCAGGGTTGTTACGAGGATTACATGAAATAATATTTGTAAAGCACTTAGTGTAGTATAGTGTAGCATACAGTAGGCACTTGATAAATGCTTGTTTCCTACTTCCCTTAAAAACAGTTGACATAGTATGTAGAGTCCTAAATCCTGTTTCTGACTCTTAGTAGATGTATAACAATAACCATGAATGAATAAGTGAATGAATGAAAAGGCATTCATTAAACACTTACTGGGTGCCCAAAAGTTGTGCTAAGCTAAGTGCTGGGAATATAAATAGAAATACTGATGTAGTGCCTGCATTCAAGGTGCTTACACTCTAACTTAGTACAATGCCTGGCACATAGTAGGTACTTCATGAATGTCTATTGACTGACAGAAGAGCAGACGGTTTTGGAGAAAAAATAATGAGTTCTGCTTTGAACATGTTGAGTTTGATATGACTATGAGAAATTCAGTTCAAAATGCTTAACAGATGATGCAGGTCTCTCAGAAGACTTGGGGTGGATATATAGATCCGGGAACTAATATGCATGGAGATTGTCATTGAACCCATGGGAGGTGATGAGATCACCAAGGGAGGTAGTTCAAAGGGGAAAAAAGAGCAGATAAACTAGGATAGATCCTTGGGTGACATCTGTAATTAATGGGGATGACATGGATGAATATCACACAAAGAACAGTCAGAAAGGTGAAGGGGGACAATTAAGAAAGAACAGTATTAGAAAAACCCAGAAAGGAGAGAATATCCAAGTGACCAACAGTGTCAAGGAGGGATGAAGATGGAGGAAAGACAAGTAGATGTAGCAATGCAGATGTCATGGCTGACTTTGGAGAGCACTCTTTCAGAAACATGATGACGCTGACAAATTACAAAGAGTTTAGATGTCAGAGGACGGGGAAAGGAGGTGGTGAGTATGGGCCATTTTTTTTCAGGGAATTTATCTGAGAAGAAAAGAAAAATATGAGATGATAACTTGTTAGTGCAGGGATAATTGGATCAAGTGGGGATTTTTTTTTGAGAAGGGGGAAGGGACGCAGGCGTGTTTGTTGGCAAGGGAAGGAGGCAGTAGATAAGGAGAGATGGATGATTAGAAAGGCAGAGGTGATAGTGAGGGCATTCTGCTAAAGACAACACGAGGAGATGGAATCCAAAGTCACTCTAGGCTAGTTGGCTTTGCTGAGGAGAACCATGTATTTATCAGAGACTAGAAAAGAGAAGGAAATACAGAAGGATGGTGTCAGCAGATTGTGAGGTGAGGAGAAGGGAACAAGAGGAAACTCTTGGCAAATGGCTTCCCTAATTTTGGTGGCAAATGAGACAAGAACCTCAGCTGAGAGGGAGAGGATAGGAGGTAATGTGAGGTTAATGATAAGAGAGTTTAGAACAGCTGATGAGGTGAATGTAATTGAAAATTGATTCGTGAAGGATTGCCTTACTGCAATGAGGGCCCAGCTGAGACTAAACAAACTTAAATTTGTCTTGGATCCAATTAGCACAGTTTCTTGACTTCCTCCGGCCCTCTTCAGTAGCACAAACAGAGGAGTGAAGGGGGTAGATGGTAGGAGGAATTGAGGATTGAAATTTGGCAAGGTTTTAATGGAGATAGGATAAGAGGACGAAGACACTCAAGAGTCAAAGACGGTGTAGAGTTGAGCTAATTCATCGTGGGTTGGAGACTGGCTAGGGAGGAGAGTATTGCCAGTACTGGGGTGATGATCTGGAAAAGTATTAAGGGATGAAGGGATTGGAAGCATGGGTAGAGATGAAGAAAAAGGTTGGGGTCATAAGGTTTAGGGAAAGATGAAATGATAAAAAGATTATTATCTGATAAAGGAATTTCAAATTTGATATATGTGGAAGTGGAATATTTCTGGATTCCTCAGCTAATAAGTATCTGAGGTGAGATTTGAATCCAGGTCTTGGGTTTTAAAAATATATTTCTCAAGTATTAGTTGGGGAAGGCATAACTACACATCAGTTTGTCTGGAAAAGATGATCTGAGGGCTTTAGAAGATCACGGATTCAATGAGAGTCAATAGTGTGATATTAGAGGCCAGAGAGTGAATGTAATCAGAAGCTGCAGTAATAAAGCTACAGTAGCTAGGATAAGGAGATGGTAATGCTATTGTTTGACTGGTCATGGCACATCTGGAAGGCAACATTCAGTTCAGACGTAGATGCCACATCTTGGGTGAGATGGTGATCAGTTGGAGGTTGTCCAGGGGAGGATAGCCACCATGCTGAAGGGCCTTGAAATCATGATTAATCAACACAAATTTACTAAGGGTCATTTTAATGCCAGGCACTGTGCTATCCACCAGGAATACAAATTCAAAAGTGAGACAGCCCATGCCCTCAAGGAACTTACATTCTATAGGAGGAGACAGTTTGCACAGTGTCCATATAAATAAAATAATTATGTATAAAATTGGTTTAAGAAACTGAAAATCTTTAAGATATTTAGCCTAGAGAAGAAAAGACGTAAGTGACGGGTGTAAGTATTCCCCAGGTTGTCAGGCAGAAGAGGGATAGCCTTGTTCACTTAGCCCCTGAGGGCTGAACAAGGAGCAGCACTCAGAGGCTACAGAGAGGGAGGGAGCTGTAAAAAATAACTTCCTAGCAATAAGAGCTTAGCATAGGTGGTGGGGACTGCCAGCAGGAAGCCGCAGCATCATAGAGCTGAGGGGGGGTAACTTGGGTCCAAGCACAACAAAAAGGAAACACCAATAGGATATCTCTGACATCAGCTCATCCTGCCTCTTCTTAAGGCCACCATCCCACTTTGGGACAGGAAGTGGACTCTTCTTTTTCTTTAGGCAAAGGCTAAATGGCCACTTGTATGGATGATCCAGACAGGATTCTTTTTCGGGTATGGATAGGAATAGACAACTGCTGATGTTGCCTCCTACTTTTGGGTCCTGTAATTCTGTAGTTTTTGTAATTGATGGAGAGCTGAAGGGAAACTTAGGCTATAGAATACTGGGGCCTTAGAACAAGGAATGTCAGAGCTGGGAGGGACCTTGGAATAGGAAATATCAGAGCTGAGATGGGCCTTAGAACATGGAATATTAGTGATTTAGGTTGTAGATTGTCAGGCTAGAACTGACCTTAAGACTTACAGTGTCAGAGCTGGAAGAGACATTAAAAATCACTCAGCCAAAACCTTTCATTTTACAGATGAAGAAATTGGGGCCTTGAGAGAGAAAGGGCCCTGCCCAAAAATGTAGTAGTAGGTGGGACTGAAACCCAGGTGTCCTGGCGCCCAGCCTGGGCTATTTGCCACCACTCCTTCATGCTTTTTCCTCCCATATTCTCTCTGTGAAGTCCTTTGTTATTGCTGGCCCAGGCTGTTAAATACACGATTTGTGCAAATTCAGACTTTTTTGTATTAAAAGCAGTAAACATCTTTAAATAAGACTCACAGCTTATGTCAGAGAAATAGATCAGAATTCTCAACTTAAGTTGTACATTTAGGACAATATTTTAGAAATTCTCCAACAGTTCTTCCCTGATTTGGCATAAACTAGAATTCAATATATACTCTTAACACATATGACAAGTGTGTGTAGATGTGCCTTGGGAGCCCTCAAAGAGAGTCATAGAACGAGAAAGTCTGTGGATGGAGGAATGTATAAGCGGGAGCTTACTATGAGCAAAAGCACCTTGTTGCCTGAACCTTGGCCATATTACACATAGCAGGCACTTAAATGCTTCACATCGCTGGTGATGGTGATGATGAAGAAGATGAGCACCAGTAAACAAATGAAAAAAGGAAGACAGTCTCCGTTCTCAAGGAGCTCATGTGTCAGGAAAAGGACACAAAACTGCAAGTCAGATAGAAAGCTCCCATGATCCTTAGGGCGTAGCCAAGCAGATGGTCATGACTCTTCTTTTATGTCATTCCCATTGACGAAACTATATGTTTCTAATAGTGAGCAACTTGACAGTGTCAGGGACTTTGATGGGGAGAAGCATCATTTCTGGTCTGCGAGCAGGGAGAGGCTGAAGTGCCTCTAGTGGCAGTTGTCAGGTTGTATATCCACAAGCGTTTCCTTCCTGGCTTATGGGGATAGGGTTTCCAGCTGGACTGGAGGCAGGACTTGTGGCCTTGGAAGCATTACTGTTCCTAGAGGTCTTGGGCTCACCCAACCATCTATGGCAATCATCCATGGTCAGTTCTGGGGATCATGGGGCTTGAGGTACCTGGCCCATGCCAACGTGGTGAGGAAAACACGTAGAGAAAAAGGAATCACGGGAGCCATGTTGAGCTTCACAATTCTTGCTTCTTCCTCCTAGTTACCCAGACTTCCTTTAAGTATCAGCTCAAATACTGTCTTCTACCAAAAAGCTTTCCCAATCCTCCTTAATGCTAATGCCTTCTGTCTGTTGATTAGCTCCAATTTATCTGGTCTCTTTTCTTGTTTGTTTATGGTTATTTTCCTGTTGTGAAATGGGGGAGCAGAGATTGCTTGTATGTTGCTCTGTATCTCCAGAGTTTAGCGCAGTACCCAGGGCATAGCAGGCATTAATAAATGTTGTGAACTTGTCATGACTGGCACTTACTTCTCTAAATTGGCCACCAGGATTCCTCTCACCAAAAATCTGAACATCAGTAAATATTGACGTTT